ACAAAACAAGGCCTCTACTTTCCTACACGCTGACCCAGCGCCATAAATCTAAAAATCCTCAAATCTTTCTCCACCCAGGCCAGGTATCTTCACCGTTGCCGTTGCTGGTATCAGGGAAGAAGCCCGTATCTTGGTGAATTGGGGCTGCCCGGGAAGACCACTGGTTGCGCGTGGCAGTGCCAACCACAGAACCAGAGCTCATTGGAAAGACAACGCCCATGTCAGTCGTAACCTACAAACGGCCCCAGTTTCCTTGCGTTCATAGCGTCTCGTGTGCAGCCCAATCAGTCTTGACGCGGTTCCAGCGCGATTGCTGAAATATGTTCTGGACTTTCCCCTTCTCTTGCGTGCTGGTTGGTGTTGCTCTTGCTTCTCAGATGAAGCAAACTGTCGACTTATCAATCTTTCGTCATTCCATGTAGTGTTCATGTGACATATCCAAGCGAGCCTCTAATGTCTAAGCAGTCTAAGCTGGTCCACAGCCTGCCTCCAGGTTCAGAGCGGGGCCGTGTTCGTGCGTGAGTTCCGCGATATTCTGCTCGCTACACATCGCAAAACTTTCGGTCACGAACACTCGACAAACGAACCACAACTCGAACATTGGCCAGGAAACCGACGGAGCATTCATGAGTGACCCTAGCGAATTGTGGAAGTGAAGTCTGCCTCTTTCTGCAGCTCGAAACTGGCTTGCATCTGGACTCGAATTATCCAAGCCTCCTCCGGCACCAGCTCCATGTTGAACCCGCGGACCACGAAGCGATCCTAGACTGGACTCTGTGATATTCTGTGATCCTGACAACCACTATGGAGGGAAGATTGCGGTAAACACGTCCTTGTGCCATGACCACTGCAGGATGGAGTCGGTGGCCTCGGGACAGACTCGGGGAGCTCTTTCTTACCAAGGCCGTTATTTCACGGGCATCATGTGTCCTGCTGCATATTTGGCACTTGAGCTTCTTGCTGTCACACTGTTGAGCATCGAACCCGCCACGTGCCCTCTGGAGGCCCACTTCCGCTGGGTAGGATCAGCATCTTCCACAAGAACACAACGTCCCGAAACCTTGCGAAATCAATCTCAGCTCGGGCTCGCGAAGGCCACTGTGCCTAAAATCTCAGAGTTGCAACGGCTTGTAACCTTCACTGACCTGCCACGGTCCAAGTCGTGCTGTGGCGGAGTAGTTGCTGTCGGCAGCTTGAATTTGCCGCCATGCCGCAGGGGTCTAGAGCTCGACAGCTGTGAGTTCGCATTTTGCAATCGACGGAGTCGTGGATGGCGGTGACACGAGGATTTGATTGGGAGGTACTGGAGTGTTGGGTAGTGCAGGACAGACAGGTTGAACTTTGGCAAGGTCTTCGGTAGTAGTGGCACAGACAGCAACGGCAGGATACGGGAACCTACTCTAGCCGCTAGCCATGGAGCACGCATTTTGCAGGGAATCTGCCGATCAACAACGATGGACCCGAGACATCCCGAGACCAGAAGAGATGGGGGTATCAGGTCTTGATGCTTTGCCTTCTGTGCCTTGGGTACGCCTCCGCTGTTTAGAGATCGGTCATCAACACAGAGATCGCGTGCAGTTCCTGCAGCTATGAATGATTGGCTCTACCGCAATCGTACGAGGAGTAAGCGAACAGAGCACATGTGAGTGATCCAATCAGACGGGACAGATTTTGTGCATGCAAGATGTAACACCATACATGTAAGAGAGCTAGTCAGTAACAGCCTTCAGCAAGCTGACAGAACTGGCATGCCGAAAACTATCGGGCAGCAGATGAAATAATGCTACTAACTACCCTTTTGCAAGCACGGCCGCAATGCTTGCCGATTCAAGCTTGGCGAGAGTCAGGTTATCAGGACGGAAATGTCCACAATTGACGGTAGATTGAAAGTGTTGACTTGAATGCATACCAGCCTATTAAGCAGCGTTTGCTCGAGGCACTGGTGCAAGAGGTCGGGAAAAGCAAAGTCCGGAATGCCGTATGCGAACTTCGTGACAGGGAAGTCGTTGCCAGCAAGCCCCACACACACAAACACAACTTCTTTTGAGAGGTTCTCCTGAACGCCTGAAGGGTCCTGAAGGTTGCTCTTGGTTGCTCAGCTCTCTGGTTAGGCTCAGTCAACCAGGCCACGTCGACTGACTGAGTAGCACCCCAGCAAGGCCACCATAACACAGGTAGAAACCTCCCAAAATCTTGAGCAAGGCAGCCAGCCAAGCTCCAGGAACAGCTCAAGCAGCTCTGGCCTTAGCGACCGTCCGAACAGACGCGCGGCAAATCCGGCATGGCCGTCATGTGCCTTTCCCCAGTGATGAGAAGATGGGCTTCACGTCGAGCAGCGGGCACACCTTCAACGGCAGATTGAGCTCTCGCACGAAGGACTCGAAATGCTGGCAAGGCACCAATCGAGAGGCCGATTTGCTCGATGAACCTAGGGCGCGTTCCCAGAAGTTGAGGAAAAAACACCGGCAGAGTCCTGCGAGGCTAGTTTGCTCGACAGATTCAATTATTTCAATTGTCATGCTTTTACCACTCGCTTTATTGTCTCGGTCGCGCTGCGGGGAGAACATCAAGTTTGTTGTGGGTGCAGGTCCTGGGACTGGTGAGAGTTCACCTTCAAAAAGAAAATACCATTAGAGGCCAGGGGAAGATGCTCTGTGCCGAACTCGCCAGGCTCTTCTCTTCCCGAAAGGCGTGCGAGCCCCTCGGCTATCGTCAACAAGCCTGGCTCGATTGGGCCCTCGATTGCATGCTTCGACGTGTGGCTGGAAACTATGTACTATTTTCCAGAGAATCCTGAAAGGTTCAAGCATCTTCTTGAACAGTTTCCTGTCCAACATGGAATGCAATTCCTTTTTGGGCATGTGCAATGGCACGGATGCAGGCTGGAAATGAAGGACAAGCTGACAAGCGGTGGCAATTGCAAACTTGCTGGCCAAACTGCAAGTACCGAACCTGAGTTTTCAGCTTCCGATCGCCATCACCACAATGCATGGACCTCAGATAGATATGTCCGAAGAACTTCTTGGAGAAAGCCTGACTCGAGAAGTTTGAGCCGGAAGCCTGTCAAACGAAAAGACGACGTGGTCGTCAGACAAGCTTCGGCCTGCAAAGAATTAAATCCAGGCAGCGCAGAGAAAGCAAACTCGCTTGCGGACAAGCATCGGATGGAGGTGAAGTAATCCAGAACGAGAGATCGCAGCGAAGCATACCTGGACTCGCTAATGCAAGCTCGCGAGAATTGCATGCACAGGTCTGCACGCCAGAAATAGTAAGGTCGACGCTCGGGTGCAACCAAAAGCAAGCTCTCAGATGCCTTATGCGGGCGAAAGCCTTAAAGCTTCCAACACACTATGAAAGCCACGTGCATGCGAGCCAGCACCTTCTCAAAACCTCCAGGATCTAGTCCGAACCTGCAGTGAGCCGTACCCCTCTGCACTGCATGGCATCGTGTGACCAAAAACTGTGCTGACACCGTCTGTCATGCAAGGTTCATGTCGCAAAGTCTTGGGAACACACATCGCAGTCGGGCCCTCTGCCTCCAAATAAAGAAGCTCAAACCGAGTTGTAAAACAACTGCAAAACACCGGCACTGCAAAGAGCCCATGCGAGCCCAGCCTTCCCCGAATAGTGCAGCGTCACCTGGCTCTTGCGTCAAATAAAACTACTCTCACCTCTCCTTCACCGGATGCAGACCTAGACATCTGCCTGTGATGCATCCTGATCGCTGACGCCCTGGAAATTCGATGTGTGTCGGAGCAGAGTGTCCATCACCTGGAGAGTGCCAACACTGTACCACCCGGACGAGCTGAAGATCTCACTCGGGCAGGAACAGCTGCAAGACCACCAGCCTTTGCTAGCCTTTGCTTGTTACAACGACAGCAATGGTGTAAGTGTTGCGCCTCAAGGTGATGCAACAACTTGCCCTGAGCGAGATGAGCTCCGTGCGACGCAAACCCGGGCACCTGACATGACGGCAATGTTTGGATCGGCTCACAGGACACTCGCGGCTCGCATCCCTGCGGACCATCGGTCTCTCGGTTCTCCTGCAGGCTGAAGGCCGCTGCTGCAAAATGTCGTGCCTCGGGCAACGCGCAACGGGGGACCTAGAAGCCAGAGCTATCTCATCGAAATTCGAAACACTGTGGACTCAACTTTGCTCCACTGTCGGGCTGCTCTTTGGCTGTGCCAGGGAGTGAAACAATAGCTCATCCTTCTTCTGAGCTCGAGCTGTAGCCGAGTCCAAGGCCCGGTCCCTCATTGGTCACAGCTGGCTCAGAACTGGTTGCCGCAACATCTGCGGAACCCTCGCTGGTGGCTGCGGGCGTCGGCTTGGCCTTCTTGACGGCCACGAAGCCCGGAAGCTTCTTCTCCTTGCCCTTGTCCTTCTCGCTTTTGTCCTTGGTGGCCTGGCTGGGCTGGCAGTCTCACCGTGCAGCAGAGCAAACACTCAGAATAAAATAGAGAAAGTATGCCCTTGACAGAAAGATGGCCTGGAGGCGCAGCGTGAGAGATGCACTTTGCGCGCTCTGTGCCTCCTGAAGCAGAGCTGCGACTTCGTCTTCGTTTTTCTGCCTTCGCTTCAAAGAAGTCTGGCGCTCTGCTTCCAGGTCTTCTTGGCTTGCAGTCGCCGATGCGAAGGCTCGTGCATTTGCGGCACTGTAACCTGAACCACGACAGTGGAAGTGGAAGATGGACTGTGCAATGCATCCCAATATTTTCGTGTTGCTGAACTTCAGCGATGGCTTGTTGCCCTCAAAAACTGCGCTTGGTGCAGTCTTTTTTATATATGGCTTCGCTTTGGTCGTAGTAGTTTGTTTCCCTTTCGCGGGTCTTTCGCCCCACACAGCAGTGGTAGTAGTAGTCGCAGTCATAGTAGTAGTCGTAGTCGTCGTAGTCGTAGTCGTAGCCGTAGCAGTAGAAGCAGTCGGGGCAGTCCTAGCAGTGGAAGTAGTCGTAGTCGTCGTCGTCGTAGCAGTAGTAGTAGGTATACGGTTGGTAGGTGATGCCAGTGTCTTCTTCGTGTGAGTCTGTTATTTCTCGAGTTTTGAGCTGTTTTTGCTTGTTGGAGGGGGGTGCGCCTTTTTTGTGTGTTTTTTTGTGTTAGCAGCTCATGTCTTGTTGCACGCTGTAATTTCTCGAGTTTTGGCCTGGTTTTGGGCGGGTTTCGAAAAGATCGTGCTTTTTTATGACACTGTTTTTTGGCGTTTTGGAGCCCTGGACTGTCTGCGTTTTTTTGTAGGATGCTGTTATTTCTCGAGTTTTGGTGTTTAGTCCAGGATCACGATTTTGAAAGCCACTTGTTTGCTACATCCGCTGTTAGTTGCAAACAGGCTTTGCTGTGAAACAGTCTTTGTTGTTTTCGCTGTTAGACACTGGTTCCAGGAGGGCCTTGGCTTTGCT